CTAGTGAAGGGGGCAGGGCAGCAGAGAGAGGGGCAGGAGGGGACAGGAGGGGAGTGTGAAAGGAGAGAGATGAGAACAGAGTGGAGAGAAGGGAGGAGGAGGGACCAAAAAGCACATGAAAGAGAGAAAGAGACAGAGACAAGGGGAGAGGGACAGAAACTCCCCAGACAGGGCACTCCCACAGACAGGCTCTTTCCCTAAAGTCTGATACTGAGCCCGAGAGACACGGTACAGACAGACCCGGGGGGCATGGCGTCTGTGTCCGGCTGGTCGGCTGGTGCCCTCCCCAGGCGCCCTCCACCTGGCTCCAGGCCCGCGTTTCTCTGCACCAGCTCCAGGCTGCCCTCCCCTCCCCTCCCCTCGGTGCCCTTGCCCCGTCCCCTCATCTGTAAGATCCTGGGATTTGCGGGGACACTTAATCCATATGGAGCTGATTCATTCCCATCTAAATCATCTCCATGAGCTTCCCTAAGAGCCCTCTGATGTGCCAACCGCCATTCCTCTCCCCCCGGTGATGGCGGGCTGGGGGCTGCCAGTAAACAAACCTCAGCCGCCATCCATCAGTCCAGCATAGACCGTTCATCTCGCCCACCCTGCTCCCCCTCCCTGCTCCTCCAATCCCTCCATCTGTCTGTCTGTCCCTCTGTGTGTCCCCTTGTCCTCACGTCCCTCTACCAGAACCTCCACATCTCTGCTTTGTCCTGAGTAGGGTCTTGAGGTGTCATGTCAGCCACCCCCCCCTGTCTTCGTGAAGACAGGAGACTTACCTCACCCCTGGCTCAGCAACATGGGGACTCTCCTGCTTCACCGCCTTCCAAGAAGAGAGGCCTCCATGCCCGATGATATTGCTATACAGCACTGCCAACCCATACTGAGGGAAGTCCTTTCCTCTGTCTAGCTTGGGTGTCTGAGATCCACATATGATCACGTGTCTGAACAGAGGTGACGGTGAGATGCTGGGGTTTTGTACAAGCATGGGAATCTCCAGGATTTGTAATATGTACCTCTGGGGGTTAGTGTGGGATATGGAGCATAAGACTAGTGAAACGGCCCTTCTTTCCCCTACTTCCCCCGGCAGAATCCAACCAAGCACATAGTGGGTGCTCTGTGCCAATTGCTTGCTGGCCATGATCTTATTTATCAGCTCCAGTGAGTCCGATGGTCCCACGTACAGCCCGGGGAGGCTTCCAGTGCTATGACCCAGGGGATCTGCTCATGGCCCTTTAGCCTAGTGGTTTGCAGGAAACACGGAGGAAGTATCTCTCACTTCTGCCCTCCTGCCCAAACTTCTTAGCCCAGTCCTGGGCATCAGACTTGCCCAAACAACTCTGTCCGGGCAGTAATGGGGCTGATGAGGAGGATGAGCAGCAGGTGCGGTGAGCCTGCCACAGCACCGAAGCAGAGCCCTCACATCTGGGGGGAAGCCCTCATGTTTCCATGCGTGAGTGAGAGAATGGGAGGCATTCCTTCCCATGAGGGCCCCTCCCCTGCTGGGTTCTTCATGTCATCCTGGGAGTGGTGACTCTGGGCAAGGGCCTGGGGTCTGCTAGCCCTTCAGGAGAAAAGATGGGGCATGGTTTTTCTGGTCCTATGTCAGTTTCTCCATCCACAGCAGCAGTGGGAGTTGGGGACAGGTGTGTCTCTGGAGTAGAGAGTTTGGTTCACACTCTAGCAAGCCTGCAGGGCAACGATTTGGGCATGGGTGAAAGGGTTCAGGGCAGTGGAAGTCAAAGGGGGGGATGAGGGCAGCACCTGGGACAGGTGTGTCCTCGCTTCGATGCTGCAGTAATGAGGGACGGGAGAGGCAGAGGAGAGGACATGGGGAAGAAGAGTCTTCGGATGCCCCGAGCAGACTGGTGCCCCACACCGTCAGCCGCTCGGAGAGTCCCAGGAGACCTTGTTGAGCACCTGACCTCCCCCGTGACCCAGACCAGACCAGACCACGTACAGAATCCCACTGCATGAGCTCCCCTAGCCCACAATTTCCCAGCACCTTCCCCTTGTCACTGGTCCCCTGCAGGGAGCCACTGTGAGGGCACAGAACAGGTGGGGCTCTTCCAGCTGCTATCCAGCTGTGAGGATCCCTGACCATGCCCCTGCCACCCCCCAGCCAGAGAGAAGGCTCTAATTCTAGTCCGAAAGCTGAGAAGGCTAGTGGGGGAGAGGGGCTGGAGGGGGCCATGGGGAAGCTTACCACTTGCCCCAGTTGTGTGAACATATGTGTGGGAGGGGAGGGGCTTGCAGGTGGCAAGGCCCAGCTTAAGAATGATGGAGTGTTTCTTAGTTCTCTGAGCTAGAGACATATGGGGTATATAAGACCAAGTGAAATGAGAAATTATTGCCTAAGAGAGAGAGGACGTAGGGGAAGAAGAAAAAATTCAAGCCAGGGAGACCCATTGCCACCCCCCCCCCCCACCATCATGACTTGACCCATCTGTGCTTGCCGGCATCAAAGTCTGAGGGAAGGGGGGGCCTGAGAACTGACCCTCAGGGCCTCCAGGGGAAAAGCTGATCCCCCAAACGTGCATTTTCCTGATGTTACACAGAGCAAGGGGAGCTGGGAACGGCGCTCAATTTCTCCAGGCGGGACAGCCCGTGGGGCTTTTGCCATCTTCCACCTTCCTTCCCTGTGCCCTCCCTTCCCTCTGGGCTGTTGGCGGAAGCAGCCCTCTCTTCTCCCACTGGCCTGTTTCTCTTGGGCCTCCCCAGCGCTGGGCCCTCATCTACTCAGTGGCTCCCCGCCTCTTTCATCTCCCCCAAATCTCTTCCTGCAAGAAGCTTCCCACACTTTGTCTCTCCCCACACAGTACCCTCCTCCTAAAATAGTCCACTTACCCAACCTTGGGGCTGATGCGAGTGCCTTCATCGGGCAAGGCTTGGAGTTTCATTTGCCTGCCCGGCCTCTATCACTCAGCATCCACATGTCCAGTGTAGGCCACGACCTCTACGATGGGGGCAAGGATTCAAGAAGTGTTTATGTGCCCACCGGCACAGCTCCAGGAGCAACCTGATTTCTGATGGAGTTGGCAGCCCTTCTTCTGATTCCAGAAGGCAGAAGTGTCTAGAAGGATGCCAAGGGGCTTTAGAGGACCACTGATTGTGACTGACGTGCTTTCCCTGGGGGAGGCCACCTCCTGGGACAGTGAGCAGTCCCTGAGGCTGACCAGCAGGAGGAACGTCGGAAGACTCTTAACGTTGAAGGAAAGATTTCCAGGTTTTGGTGAAGCTTTTGGGAGGGATGGTCTTAACCTGTTCAAGCTCTGAGGGAGCAGAGGGGTCTGTGTGTCTGGAAAGGTTTACTTCAACCCTTGTAGGACTGACCCCAAAGAGGGATGACCACTTCCTCTTTCCAGAGCCCTGACTCATCCACACTCAGGGCAATCCTGCTCGCAATTTCTTAGACGATTGTTCGTTCTTTGGCCAGAAATCTGGTTCTTGAACTCACTCTCCTATTCTTATCATGATCTGGGAATGAACCATCTTTGGGCACCAAATTCAGCTTCATCTTATGAAGCCAGAAGAACAGCGAGGCAGAGCCATTTCTAGACGGTGACACGGCAAACCTATAAGAGGCTAGGAATGCCCCTTGCTGGGAATGCCATCTTCTCTTCTTTGAATATGAAGGAAAAGGATGTGATCCTGGGGGAAAGGGCAGGGCGGGTGGGAGCAGAGAGTGATACCAGCTAGAAGAACACCCCCAGCCATCCGGCCCGGATCCAAATGTGCACATGATGGAAATGTCTTCACAGCCAAGGGCCCCTCCCTCCCAAGGAGAAAAATCCCACAAGTGGGGAACATCTGGATCAAACCACAGCCATGAAAGCACAACATCAAACGAGGATTTCCCAGCGACCCTCCCCACAGGCCCTGCTCCAAGAGAAATTGCAGATCTTCCTGCTTGAAGCTTTTAAGTGTCACAGAACCCCTCAAGTTTGGGATCGCTCCTTATTCACTGGAGACAGATGTCCCTGAGTGAGCATGGTTGGGTTTGATTACCCCCAGCAGGAGAGAGTGTGTGTGACCCGATCCTGGCCGGGTTGGGGGGTGGGGAGCCTGGGATTTGAAGCTGTGAGGAGGGGCTCCAGCAGTTCAGGCTGGGGGCTGGGGAGAGACAGGGGACAGGTGGGCCTTTTAAAACGTGCCTACATCAAAGGTTTGTGTAGGCTCCCTTCCCAGCATCGGCGCCTGCAGGGCAGGAAAGCGCAGATTTCACCACATAACTGCACGTAGGATGGATCTCAGTCTGAGAACTTTTGGGGAATGTGGAGAGGGGAGGGAGGGCGCTCCCCAGAGGGGAGGAAAGGGCAAAGGGGGTTTCTCATTTACAAAAAAGCCTGCCTAGGCCAAGGAAAATGGGACCAGAGACTGCCTCCCTCCCACTCAGCCCCTGTGGAAGGGGATCTGGAGGGAGGGGTGCATTCTTCCAAGGTGGGGAGGAGGAAGCAGCTGCAGCCGTGGGAGGTGGGCACAGGATCACAGCTGGAGAACAAGGGGGAAGCAGGGCCATCTTCCCCAAAGGCGTGAAGGAGGAAGGCGGCAGACCATGTGATTCCAGGAGCCGGCAGGGTCTTCCCTCTCTATTGCCCAGCCTTCTTCCAGGCCCGGGAATCAGTGAGCCCCCGGCCTTTGCACTGGCGGGGTGGGTGGCCCGAGGGGCAGATGGCTTAGGGAGGTACGCCAGAGCCCCCATCCCAGTTCGGATTGGAATAATCTGCCTAGAGGATGTGTGGGAGAGCGTACTGGGATGCGGACACCCCACAGTAACCTTGGTTCAAGAAGCCCTTCCGTGGGGAGGGGTGCAGGGAGCAGAAGGGGTATCGTGCTTAGTGTACAACGGCCTCCCCATGTCCGGATGCCTTCCCAGCCCCTTTCTTCTCCCCTTTCCCCAGAGAGGTTTAGGAGGGTTTGTGGTGCTGTGGTGATGCCTGGGTGGACCCGTAGGGCCGGTCCTTCCCACGCTGCTTAAAAAGATCTATTTACAATTTTTTTTCCCCATCTAGGCTGACGGCGCCTTGAAGGCACAGACTCCCTCACTCTTGTGTTCCTGGTGCCCGGCACAGCGCCTGGCAGAGAGCAGGGTGCTCAGGGATCTTCCCCTGCTCCAGCTCCCGGCTGGAGCCCCTTCCCCAGTGGCCAATGTGCTGGGGGAAATAGAGGCAACCCATGTGATGATTCTTCAGCCTCCTAGAGGCCTCTGAGGGGTTCCTAGCTCCCAGCTGACCTCCTCCGGGAGTCTTTTGGGAGGATTCTCGTTGACCGCTTTTTCTCCCACCTCTGAAATTTATTGTCCATAAAGTGCACCTTCGTGCTCAGGTTTATTTTATTTTTTAAAATCTGGGATGAATAAGTCTTTTTTTTTTTTTTTTTTGTCACACAACCCAGTGCTCTTTGGGACCCAATTCTTTGCCCCTACTCTTTTTGTGGCCCATGATGCCAGCATGAAGAAGGAGTTCAGTCAAGGCAGTTGGCTCTTGATTGGCCGCCCATCTCCTCTGAGTGCTGTTGGCTCAGTCTTTGATGTGGTGGCTCATCTGGGGCTCTGACAGTGGAGCATCTGTGAGCTGCTGAGTCGGGGCTGTCCTGGCATAATGGGGTGAATAGGACACATGAAGGGGCCCTTGTCCCAGTGAGGGGAGGACACCGGGGCCTGGATGCCTGCAGGTGGAGAGAATGCTTGAGGGGGAAGTTGTGGAAATGACAGAGGTCAGTAGGTTGTATTCAGAAAGACTCTGGGAGAGGAGAGAATGGAAGAGGTTGGAAGGACAGAGGGAGGCCTTGGCAAAGGGGGAGGGAGGGTGTCCAGACGGGACAGGCTTACGGAGGTGAGGAGGCTAGAGCACCTTTGCCTGCGGGCGGGGGCCCACGTGTGAGCCTGGCAGCTCTTCTGTCCAGGAGGGGCTGGGGCAATCGTAAACATTCCTCTGCACTTTGAGGATTGGACTCCCCTCCCTCCCCAAACTGTAGGCCAGATGGGATCTTATGTCTCCCTGTGATTTCTAGGCCCAGCCTCACCTGTGTTCAGGCAACATCGCCCGATGCCAAGTTTGGGTCAGACCAGCTTTGCTCCATACCCTCGAGGTCCTCCCTGGGGCTGGAGCTGCCTTTGAAGTTGAAGAGAGAAGATTGGTGAGCTGTGTGCTGAGCCTAGATCTCTCCACCATCAGTGAGGCAGGGAGGCTGTCCCCTTGGAACCCTTTCTTGGGGGCCGAGGTGTTGACATATTAGTTGTCAGAATGTAAGTGTTTCACCCTTGAATGCTGCATGAGGCTGCCCGAGTCACCGGGCATCCCTGGGCTGCAGGGAATCAGCATTCACTGCACTCCTAGAGCACAACTCTAGGTGGTGCCATTCACATAGAATTCAGTGCGCATGGTGCACCCCCCTCATGCCACTCCCCCCCCCCGCCCCAAATTGTGTGATGGCGGGCCACTGTCCTGCCCTTCTGGGCTCAGGGTTCTGTTTACCCGCTCAAGCTGGTCCACCTGAGGACTGGGGATATTCAAGGGAGGCTTTGCCCAGAGACACAGGGATGGACAAGTTAAGTCCTCACGAGAAGTGGGCACCAGGAAACCGGAGGTTCTCCCAGAACGACAGGACCACAGAGGAGTGCGCAGTCTTAGACCAGGTAGCGGGGACAAGAAATGACCACTTCCATCCATCAGGGGAAGGGAACTGCCTGATAGCCCCGTACTGAAGAGGACCCCCATATGTAAGCACCCAGTGGGGCCTGGCCCCCGGTGGGCGTGAGGCGGGTCAGCATCAGTGCCTGTCTCCAGTCTCTAGGTTTCGGGCTCTTGGGAGCGGAAGATCTAGCCACTACTGTGACACTTGGGCGCAGGACCTTGCTGAAATTGGAAATGGGATCCTGACCCAGACGGGGCTCCGGAATTTGTTTCCTTTTGTTTTTCTCCTTCGTAAGGAAAGCTTAGTTCACTGTTTAGGATGAAAAATAACAACCAGATGAACGGAGGAAGGATCATCAGGAATGATAAATAATATGCTGCAGATGTGGCTACAGAGAAGGGCCTCCAAAGGAGCACAGGGACTTTGAACAGTCACCTTGGGGGGGAGCTGCCCCCCCCCCACCGCCCCGGCCAACAGGGCCAGTGACACAAGTGCTTCTAACTCCTCCTTTGGAATTGTCTTCAGGGTGTGTGACTCAGTTTCTTGAATGTCCTTATTGGTGACAGATCTTTAGCCTTTGCTTTTGGCGGATCAGTCAAAAAATAATTCGCAGTTAACAAGGGTTGTTTTGAATATTTTATAGAATAGCTATAAAGTCCATCTTAAAAGGAGACTTTGCAGAAGTGTTTTAATTAATGGAGGTACATATGGGATAAGTATATGTCCTTCTGAGAACAACCCTTGTTTGTTCTCCTGGGTTTGACTAAAAAGCGAATCACAGATATTTATCCCGTATTGTAGTCTATATAATAAAACAACGTGTTTTGATGTTGAAAGGCTGTATGCTAACCACTTCCTCCTCCTGCGATTGCAAATTCATGCCTCTGACGGTGTATAATGCATTGGCTTTGGCCAAGGAAGGGCGGGAAGAGAGGCATCGGGCAGACCCAAGGGAGGACTTGGTACAATTATTCAGGGAGAAGGTTTGGGTCCCATCTACACCTGAAAGTTGCCTAGCTCCGCACTCCTCTCTGGACTAGCTCTGTGTTCGTTCTTCCAGAAGATTTGGCCAACTAAGCAGAGTGTGCTTATCCCTTTAGGGTGGGGAAGATTAAATTTCTTAGCTTGGTTGCCTGTCATTCACCTGCAAAAATCAACACTCAGCTCTAAGGGAGGGAACCTGCTGGGTTGTGAATTAGGTAAAAATATATTTTTCACAAAAATGGAGGGGGTGAGGTCAAAATAAATGTACACAACAAGCCTGTTTATAACAGTTATTAGTTAACTTAAACGAAGACCTCTCTAGCTGGAGAAGTTTCCGGAAGTTTCCATTGCTGGAGAAAGTCTGGGAAGAAGTGGGGGAGCACCAGATCAGGGGGCCTGAGCACTAGTCTCAGGAATGCTTGCCCTCCCTGAGCAGGCTTTTCTGTCCATTCGGAGAGACCCCTTTCTCTGGGCTTGTGTTGGGTGAGCGAAGGTGGCAGTGGGTGTTATCACCTGGGCTGGGGGCAGAGGGAGGATGGAATGACCTCCAGGAGCTCTAGCCAGGCAGAACGCTCAGCACTCCTTCGCTGATAGACCAAGCTGCAAATCAGGAATTTATTAGGAGCTGAGACTCATTTTCCCACCCTTTATAGCCCTGACGACTCAGAGCCAAACTCTGGCAAGGGGCTTCCTCATGGTTTTAATTAGACAATTAATTTTTTATTGGGTCGTTTGATTTCCGGAGCCGATTCCACTCTCCCTCTTACCCCCACCTGCCTCCCAGCTGTGAACAGCCAAGGGGAGGCAGGGGGATTCGGGGAGGGGTGCAGAAAAAAAAAAGCCTCCGTCTCCCTTTGAGCTGATTTAGGAGTCAGTGAGTGGGGAGGGGGCCGGAATCCCTCTGCCACCGTCAGCAGGTCTAGCTCCAGAGACACTATCCAGAGCTCAGACCTGGGCTTGCAGGGTCTGCACAAAGGCATTCTTAGCTGCTCCTCCCAAGCTTCTCCCAAGCTGTTGGGCTAATTAGTAACACGGGGTGGTGGGGGAGAGGGAACAGTGCCCAAAATACATTAGCAGCATTTCTGTAGTTAATCCGGGTGGTGCTGGAGGCTGTTTACCCTCTACCCAGGGATTAGGAAACTGTTTGAGTTAGAAGGGCAGAGAGAGGCCAGGGCTGGGCTCTGTCCCCCACCTGCTTGTAGGAGCTGGGGCGGGGGTGCTGAGCCAGCAGAAAAAAAAAGAAGTGGGAGAAAACTGTCTCCAATCTATCTGCCTTATTGATCTCCCTGGCGTCCAGCTGCTGGCCTGCTTTTGAATCTTGATCCTCTCCACTCCTGCTTTACCCGTCGCCACTGGCCTTGTGGTCAAATAGGAAACTGGCTCAGAAAGGTTGGGAGGGAGGAAAGAGTGAAGGGATGCGGGTTTTAGCGGTGGGAACGAGCCTGGGGGTGGAAACGTCTCCTATATGCCATAGATGTTCTCTTGGAGGAGGAAGGGGGAGTCCCCTCTGGATTCCTGACCACCCCCATACTCCACCCTGAAAGGAAAAGAAGGTTAGACTCAAGGAAGAACTTACGCACTTTCAGTAGCAGAAATGAACAGCTCCCTCTTTAGAGTTTGATGATTCGGCAGAGCCGGATATTTTGAGCAACGTTGCTTGGAGGCCTTAAAATGGAATTGTGGGGAGTGAGAGGACTATTTCCTCAGGTGTCCTGTGGGTGGGGACATTGTCACTTGTTGTTCCAGCATAAGGACTCCTGAAAGTGCGCGGACAAACTCAAAGAGGCCGACACAGCCACTCTGAACGAACCTGACAAACCTCTGCAGACACAGAAATGGGCTCTGGGGCGCGTCTGGGGCCAGGGCTCTGGGGCCCTCACAGAGAGAACAAGCCCGCAAAAGCATAAGTCAGGATGCCACGCAAAGAGAGGGGTTGTAGGGACCCCCCTCCCTGCCCACATTCTCCTCCCGCGTGATCGGTGAAGGTGTGGGCCCGGCACCACCCCTCACTGGGGGGCTGGGGAGAAAGAACACCCACCTCCCTTGGGGTGCGGGACTGGAAGAAATAATAGCACATATTTGCACTGGATTGTGAGGACACAAAGATGAAAGGACCCAGAAATCAAAGGGACCCCCGAAGCTCAGCGTGAAGACCTCTGGATGTAGAATTTGTTCTGCAAACAGATTTTCTTTTTCTGGGGAAACTCACGTTGAGCGATCCCTCTGCTCAGGTGTGAGGTGGTTCCATGTTGGGAGCCGGGGGACAGCCCCATGGTGGGCCTTCTTGGGACACAGTCCTGCCTGCTGCTGGGACACATCTGTGCTAGCCTGCCCCCTAGCTCCCAAGCTGTGCAGAATGGTGCTCGGAAACCCACAGAAAGAAGGTTAGGTGTGTGGGGGTGGGGGTGAAGGGCCGAGGGCGCCAAGGTCATCCATGACACTTGTGCTTCCACGTGGCTCCAGGGAGGAAAGAATTCAAGCCTCCCAGGACTCGGGTGCTGGGGTAGGGGCAGTGCAGCGTGGGTGCATGGGGGTCCTGAGTGGGCACCTCTGGGGCCGCAGAAACAAAGGGGTCAGGAGCGCAGGCCAACCTCCATCCGAGGAGTTATGGGGGTGGTCAGGATCCATCTGTAGGAGCAGGGAGAGAAAGAGACGTGGGGCGAAAAGAATGTGAGAAAGAGGAGAAGGAAAACGAAGGCACCGAAAGAGAACGAGAGAGCAAGCTAACAGAGACCCACACAAAGAGAGGCCGAGAACCGCCCGGGTGAGCTAGGGGACCGTGGCAGGCAGCCGGAGGCGGGGAAGGGGGCGCCTTGGGAGGGTCAGGAGCCAAAGCAATCGGCTTGGCTTCTGCAGGGGACAGTGGCAGGCAGGCAGGGAGGGGAGGGGCTGCAGAGAAACACGGGCTTGCCGGGCAGAGCAGAGGGGTGGCCGTGGGCCCTGAGTCTCCCAGTCCTCAAGCTTCCAGCACAGTCCGTCCTCTTGCCCTTTCCCTGAGCCCAGGGCGGAGACTGACGGGACTGCAGCTTCTCTGGGTCCTGGGTGGATTTGAATAATTAAGTCATCTGGATTCTTATGATTTACCATTTTCAATGATAAATAGACAGCGCCCAAGCCAGCCAGTTGGCAAAACTCTGGCTGCTAGTTATAATTTGTCAAGCTGCCAGCAGATTCATGTTTTATGCTAATGGAGAGAGGCTCATTGACTGGGGGAGGCAGTGACCCGGTCAGCTCTTTCCTCAGGCACCCCAGAGGTCGAGAGGTCGGGGGAGAAAGGCCGAGCATGGTATGGATTTTCTGTAAGGGTCAGGGTAATTTTATAATAATTCAGCGGGTACACACGCTCTCGCATACACAGAGGGTCATGCGTGCGGAGACACGTTCAGATCTGTGTGCGGCCGGCCCCGCACGCACACACGCACGTGCACCTGCTCCAGCGCACGCGAGCCTGGGGCAGGAACACTTGTACGCCCCCCTGCAGCGCACTTGCCTGTGCACACCCTTGCTGTCACCTTCAGGCACGGGATTACACCCGGGCAAACCCTGCTCAGCCACCCAGAGAAACACGTCACCCCGCGCAGTGACAGCGCACATCTCTTTTGGGGGGCCCCTTTGCCGACCATCCCAAACTCTTTATTTTGGATCTGCCAATCCCAGGGCACGTTTCTCACCCCCATTCTGATATTCTTCCAGTGGGGGAAACCAGTGAGACCCAGGGCAGTCCTGTTTTTCAACCAACTGGATCTGGGTAGCTGGGGCCCGACGGACAGGGGCTCTGAGACCAGGGACCTGGAAGGCTGCAGTCAAAACCAGCTGAATGCAGACTTTCTTTTCCATTGATTTATTTGTATATCTGTCCACACACACTGAAGCCTCAAAGCGGCAGGAGTTGCTCCTGACAGTCATGACAAACTGAGGGAGAGATGATGCTTCACACATAGTAGGTACTAAATAAACATTAGTGGAATGAGCCGCTGATGCTGCTGACTCGCAGATGGAGGAAATTGCTCATTTCCCTTCTATTCCTTCACCTCAACGAGCCTTTATATCATCACTGGCTTGAAAGGCCAGAGAAGAGGTGTGGGTCTGGGTAAAGACTTCCTATTCCTTTTTTTTTTTTTTTTTTTTAAGTTCTATGTCCAATGCGGGCTTGAACTCATGACCCTGAGATCAAGAGTCACATGCTCTACCGACTGAGCCAGCCCGGTGCCCCGAGACCTCCTATTCCTTGATGTGAGAAATCTGGGCTTTCGGTATGACTTTTAAAAATGCTAATTTTATACCAATTGAAGCAATCTGGCCTCAACTTTGACCCCCAGTGACCTTCAAAATGGATCAATGAGCGAGGGAGGACTGAGGAAGGAGCACCTGTCCTCCCTCCCACCCAGAAGAGAATCTGAATTCACTGTGAGTCACTTGTGAGCCGGGCTGGGAGCTGCCGTTGATTACCATCAGCAGCTTTAAGGCTTGGTCGGGGCACGGGGAAGGACTAGGGGGAAGGGGACGGACATTTTATTTCCCTAGCGCGCCCCCCCCACCTCCCCCACCCCCCGCCCCGGGAGTGAGGGAGAAAACCACAACACTGCGGAATGAGCAGGGGCCGAGGTAGCAAGGAGAGCCCAGTGGTGGAAGCTTCCTTCGGTGTCAGGCTCCAGATGTGGCTGCAGCTGTCAGCTCTGCCAGCTGGGAGTCCAGATCCTGCGAAGTGAAGTCGGTTCCCTCCTTCCCTGAGGGGCCAGTGGAGGCAAGGCAACTGCTTTGGGCATACAGTTTGCATCCCCGTCACTGAGGCCTGGAAGGAGACGTCTCCCTTCTTTGCTGAGCAGATGTGGAGGGCTTGGGCCAGGCTGGTCAGACGGATTCCTGGGAGAGACAGCTGAGAGCCAAGAGCCGACCAGCCTCTCCTTCCAAGGGAAAGAAGGCCCCGAAATGCATCAGGAATAGGGAGACAGGCTTTGCTTCTTTCCTAGTAGGAGGCTTTGACCTGGCATCACTGGCCTCCCCCCGCCCCAGCACCCCCACCCCACTGAGGCAAGGGGGGCTCCTGTAGGCCCTTGTTCACCTGGGAGAGAATGACCTTGGGGGCACCAGCAACTCCGCCCCCATGGCCAGGGGCAGGCCAGCAGGTGGATGAGGTGGGAAAAGATTTTCTGGGATGAGCCGTGGGGATGTGAGGGCAATCATCAGGACTGCTAGAGAAAACCAGCTGATTCATCCTGCACCTGCTTAGCCAAGCTGACTCCCCATTTTGACCTGCATCTTCCCATCCCCATATCTGCATCCACATCATGAGCTCCTGAGGGCAGGCTCGTGTTAGTCTGCCTGATGGTCTCAGAGCAAAGCCTCCGGGGTACAAAGACAGTACAAGGGTGCCAGCTTGGGCTCAATGATGAGGGAAAGAAAAAACAGAAAGAACAGGAAGATGGAGGGAAGGGAGCAAGAGAGATTGAGGGAGAAAGAAAGATAGATGAGGGAAGAAGCAGCTTGAGAGAAGTTGGGGGAGCTAGAAGCGCAGTGCTGGGAAGTGCTGGACCCAGGGCCCTGAGAGGAAGTGCCAGGCTTACTGGGGACCCTGGGGGCAGCTGGTTGTTTGAGGGTCCTCCAGCCCATTCCCAAGACTTGTGCTGCCCTTGGAAGATGGTGCTCATCTCAGTGACTTTCCCCTTTGCACTGCTGGGAAACAAAGGAGTTACCTAACTGGCTTTAAGAAAAAGAGAAGGAAGGAAGAAAGAGAGAGAGAGAGAGAAAGAAAGAAAAGAAAAGAAAAAAGGAAGGAAGGAAGAAGGAAAGAAAGGAAGGAAGAAAGAAAGAAGGAAAGAAAGGAAAGAAGGAAGGAAGGAAGGGAAAGGGAAAGGAAAGAAGCCCCCTGAATCAAACCGAGCAGCTGTCCCTGGAAGCACATGAACAGGGCCCTGGAGTGCAGGCCCAACAGGCTCCAGACACACACCCACCCCCAGTTCATTCCTCTGCAGCTGAATCTAAAGGCCCTTTGCCAATTAACGTCTTTGTGTGCACGAGTTCAGTGGGATATCCTGCAAACCTAGAGTCCACTTGCCCTAGTAAGAAATGTCCTCATTCTCTTTCAAGAATGACTTCCTTCTCTGGCTCCTTCAGCCCTGGAAAACCTCACACCAAGCCTTTCTCAGATGAATACAACCCTTTCTCTTGGAGAGAAACCCCCTGCCCCGGAAGGAAGTTTTCTGGGGCGTGGATGGAGATAAGGATGGCAAAGGAGGAGTTTTCTTCTCACCAATGAAGAAAATGAAGATGCCCTTCCTCGGGAGAGGGTGGGGGGACCAGACCTTCTCTTCACCCCTCTCTCACCTGCACAAATACAGACAGGCTAACCAAAATTACAGAAGAACCCTCCAGCACAAAGGACTCATTTGACCTATGATCAGACTGAGGCCCAAGGTCACAGCCAGAGCATCGCAGAATAAGGTGGCCAGTCTGCAGACAGCCTCTGCAGCAGGGTCAGGGTGGAGGCACTTGGGGCGGTGGGCAAGGAGACTGAGCCAGGGCCGTGTGGCCACCCATCCCTCTCTAAACTGCCTCTTTGGCTCCATGTTCTGGTTTTTGAACCGGACCTTGACCTGCGGAGCCTCAAGGCCCACTGGGCTGGGCTGGGGGCAGGTATGACTGCAGAAGGAAGTCCTTCTCCAGCTCAGGCAGCTGCTTCGCAGAGAGGCTGGTCGCAGAGGGCTGGTGTGAACCTCCACCTCCCTCCCCTGGGCCAGGGCAGCCAGTGGGGGGGTTGGGGTGGGGTGGGGGGGTTGGGGGGGTAGGCCAAGGCCAAGGTAGCCTGGGGGGTGCCCGTGGGGCGCATCGGGAGCGTAGGAGAC